CACACACACACACACACACACACACACACACACACACACACTCCTTTTTGCTAATAGGGTAGGAGGAGCCTTCTATGTTAAAAATCCTGTCTGTCAGCAAATTAAAGGATGTTGGGGGAAGGAGGTATCCTCCACTGGGGGTTATCACTTAMATTTTTTTATTTAAAAATTTCACTKCCYTTTCTTAATAAACACKTTAGCACATRGAAAGTTTTAATTGTGTGTTGGACCATGAGGAACGCTAGATGACCAGATTAACCAGGGTTAAAGAGATAGTTCAGACCTTTTCRAGTAAACTGTGAAAAGGGAGAAAACAACTAAAAGCTATTTAGATGGCTAAAAACAGTTTTAAAGTCGTTCATACGGATACCGTTCTATGAACTTTTACACTACAGTCAGGTTTATATCACATGTATAATGTGTATGCAAGTGTCCCAGTATGCAGTGGAAGTGCTAGAGCTAACTGCTGCTGCCACTATTTACTGTGTTTTTGTAAATCCCCACAGATTTTTTTGTAAATAACTATTATTATGAACTCAATGAATTTGAAGAAAAATTGATTGGAGTTTTCAGGCTTGGGCTTTGGCCCCGCTTGGACTGTTAGCTTTCAGAAACCCACTTCGAAAGATCTGAACTATCACTTTAACTTCTTTTTATTCAATTCTGGTTTTGACTTTGCACCACTGCTTTCATACATATATGCAACATAATTTGTATAATTCAAAGCATGCTTCTTCATACCAACTATATAAAATCAAATCTGCCCTGGTGCATGATGTCAGCAGGACGCAGGTTGTTTTAGTCTCTTTTGTTCATTTCTTTTTCGTGTAAGTCCCACAGGTGGTGATTCCTCAGCTCAGACCTGAATCCCTACAGATTTATGCTGTTTGTATTTGTCAAGCTGTCCCAATTAACACCATCAACAGGTACTAGGATTGGCACTAAATCATCTCATGTTTCTCCACCCCTCTAAGCTTCTCAAATAGTTCACACCTCTGTGTGTGTGTAAACAGGAGCTAAAATAACTCCAGGTTAGTGACCGAGGTCTTATTTTATCTGAAAGGTTTGACTTTGATTCTGTTAGTTTTGTGGCTGCGTTCAACAGAGATGTTGAATTTGAAGCACAAAATCAACCCCGGGGCAATGAGAAAGGAAGCAGAATTTATGTTCTTTATTATTGCTGTCATGATAGATGCTTGTTTTCAGGCTCGAACTTCTAAAGGTTAAATATGTTTTGATAAGTGATGCATCTCAGTTTATTGTTTTTGCAACAGTAAAAAAACAAAAAGGGTGACGAACATCAGATGAACCCCATCTGTACAAGTTTCCAGAGAGCTGTTGTGATGACGTAACCCAACCTCCCACCCCCCACCAGTGATCGCTCTCCTCCCAGCTCAGCCACACTCAAGCAGAGCAGTCAGAAGAGAAAACAAACCCAGGGCCTAACAAATACATGAAGGTTTGGTTTAACTAAATCCCACAGATAATGGCTTCTGTGTTGAAGACTAAAGATAGCGGGTGGGGTAGCTGTGGCGGGTGGAGGGGGAGATTACTTCAGCGTTTTGCATCAGTTGCTTTCTGCTGGGTGGCCCTGCTTGTCAAAAAAAAAGTGGGGGAAAAGACGGATGAAAAAAAAAAGCATTTAACGCGGCACATTGAGAAGAAGAGGGCTCTTAATGCCATCAAAGCAAGGGGAGAAATCAGGCATTAATTTATTCTGGACTCTCACACACACTGAGGCAGGCATGCAAACGCAACACACACACAGTTGTTGATCGTTTCAGTAACATCTGGTCCATGCCAGTCTCTGAAGCCCACCAAGACCTGGACTGACAAAATGTTTGCACTGATCCCCTTTTGTGTGTGTGTGTCCATGTGTGTGTTCACCTTAAACAGTTTGTGTTTAAACTGAATTATAGTCGCGACGAGAGGAGGAAAATTTTTTTGCTCTAAAAGATTCAGGAGGAGAAGCGGATGATTACACTATTCATTGGCTGATAAGAACTGATGGAGAGGTTAATAAGCTACACATCCAGGTCATCGCAGTCTTTTTACTGGGCCGTACCGAGGAGAAAGGAGGACATTGATGATGAATATGTGAAATTGAGGGGGTGGAGGTGCACCACTTGAGTATCTGCACTTTTGATAGACATTCAAAAGTCTGTCAAACTTCTTTGTCACCACTAACCGCTAGATTTCAGCTTTGCAGGTTGAAGACATTTTGTTCCCGGCAAGTCAGAATAAACCTGTTTCCTGATCACCTGAGTCTGGCTGTTTGAGAATGTGGGTGGAAACCAGAACAATTCATCAGGGTTTAAAACTCTGTTTATACAGAACTCRGCATTTCCTGATTCAGCAGCTGCAGCCTCTGCTACCTGCATCCACAATGCTCTCATTTATAAAGTAAAAGTTCAGCTTTTCTCACTAATATTAAAGGTTTGAAGATTAGTTTTGTCTTAAGGAGGCACATTTTTAAATCACCATTAACAAAACATAGCTCCTCCTGCTTGAATTTCCCAYAATGCTCTTGTGTAACCTGAGGCAATAGGCAAAACCCCTGCTGAGCTAAAGACAAAACGCTTCAGCAGAAGAAAAAAAACAGATTGAACTCATTCTTTCACTTGGTTTCTCTCTGCTGGTGGAAACCCACTTTGTACTGGAGCACAAAAATACACAGATAAGATGTTATATATTTTTTAATTTATTTTATTGTAATTTTTTAACTTGAATCAACTTATACAAGATTTTAGTAAAGCTGATACCCAAAAAATAGAGTAAATATAAAAAAAATCTATCAGGGACTTGAATCCTGACGTTTTTTAGACAAACAGGATATTTTAAATCTTTTGAAATGGGGTTCTTTGATTATAAATAAGTATCTTACCTGTTGATAGCACTTTGAATGACCATGTTTAGTTCTAAACAGGTTATTCACATTATAGTCCTAGTGGAACCAACTGCCAAATTAGCATCTTGTGCAAATGTGAAAATGCAAAAAAATATATATAATTTAATTCAAACCTTTACATTATCAGTTTTGTATTGCATAGGTATTTATGTAAAATATTGCAGTTATTTGTGAGCACAAATGATATCAGCAACAGCTAGCTGTAGCACTTTGTTGTATCCTTGGGTTTATCCAAAAGGGTTTATAAAACATTCCCACAAACATATAACATTTGCAGATTAGGGTTGTTTTAAGACCGCAGTGATCCAAAGACTTATCTGCAACAGGTAAGATATTATTTACACATTTTACATAGACACCTGATCCAAATGATCAGAATTGTCTCCTATCAGTTTTTAGAATAAATAATTTGTTCTCGACAGTCAGCAGGACCCAAAAAGTAACATAAAGCAGATCCCCTTCAAAAATGTTTTCTCCAGTTATCATTTCATTTGGTAACGAAGTGGTTGATTGAAGAATCTTCTACTTTGTGCCAGAGCACGACTGGAAGCCAAAAGGTCCAAGTAAAGGCTCTCATTCTGAAAACCATGAAAAAAAAAGACTCCAAACAGGACCTTAGCATGGGGTCTCTCCCCTCACCCCCTCTCATACCTACTCCTGTCCCAGAGCTAATAGGGCGCCTTTCCCCGCTCTCTTTCACCCACTCACCTTAATAATAAAGAGAGCCCCCTGTGGAAAAGAGCTAGCACGAGCGGCTGAAGATCACGCTGGTAATAGGATGATGCCTTTTTGCCTTTTGTCATGAGATTATGAACGGGGATAGCCTCTCCTCTCTGCTCCTCCACTCGTCTTTACTCTTCCCGCACACAGCTACAGAAGTCCTGGAGGGCCCTGTCGAGTTGGAGTGGAGACAGGCGTAACTGAGGCTTTGTTGCTCTGCTTGTATGGTAAAAGACTTGCTAATGAAATACCTTTTAGGGGGTATCGGCAGGTGAGCTCCCCGATCGGGCATTTTGGCAAAAACACACACAGCTGTACACACGTATTCTCCATCTCCTCATCTGCCCCCTCCTGCTATATTAATTACCTGAAGTGCTCCGGCCTTGCAAAAAAAGCCCTCGATGCTGCCGCTTTCCTGCCTTTCTTCATGCGACACGACAGCCGCGGCGGCAGCCTAAAGAAGGCGTACAACAGAAAGACAGATGATAATAGTGGTAATGAACACGGGTGACAGTAATGAGGAAAGTAATTGAGAAATGGTGCCTGACAAGCCCCTTGATTTTCTCTTTCCAGCCCCGAGCTAAGTGGGGACAGGTTGAAAATTATCTTATTTAGAGCTCAGTTAAATGGTTTGTGTGGWGCGTTGGAGAGAGCAGGGATTTCTGGCGTTAAAGCTAAAGCGAGCTGACAAGCATAGAGCGAGGATGCTGAGGCCTAAAGTGTGAGGGAGTGTTTTAAGACTCTTAATTTCTAATTTCCAATGAGTACAACTTGTTAAATACCTTAGTGCTTCTTTGCTGTTTTTTATTTTCTTTTTTGCAGCTTCTTTTTTCTCCATCTGTGTGTGTCTTCGTGGCCTTCTCACCCAACCTGTGATAGAAACAGGGCGGTCTGGGCTGCCTCCACTAGCACATAGTCTGCCACTCTCTGATAATGTTTATTGATTTGTAGCAAAAAACACAATTTGATGGAGTGGGGGTGGCAGGGAGGGAGGTGAGGAGAAGAAGCATATGTGATTGTCACAGCTTGGCTCCTTCTATGAGTCCAATAGAAAGATGTTCCTGGAGTAAATTTTTTGTTCAGTAGTAATTGCAGTTTCTACACRTAAACACGATGTTTGATTAAAATATTTAAATTAAAGTGTGCTAAGATTTAAAAAAAGATTACTTCAGAGAGAGAAAGGTGAATAAATGGCTGTTCTTGTGCAAATACAATTTTCTTCTCTCTGTTGAAGCAGAGGAAATGCGTGTCTCTGTTTGAGTGGGTCCAAAATAAAGACTCCTAATATTTCATCTCCAGTCTATAATTGTTTGACTGAGCTTCACCTCCCCTTCTTAACCTCTGAGTAGGAGGAATGAGAGGTGTCTGGAGGTTGAGCCACTGTTAGCTTTCTGGTCAAATGTGTTTGCTTGGGGACGTATGTGTGTTTCTGTATAAGTTAGAGTCCACAGATGAAAGGATCAGAGAGGAAAACTATTAGCTGAACAAACACCGCCCTCAGATGTTCCTAATGGGAACAAATGTCAGTCCTACCTTCCACAATAATGAGTTCAACAACATAAAAACTAAATGCTGGTCATATTTATTTGTCTCAAGGTTCACCAAAAAAAAAGTTCATTTAGAAATAATGAAATTAGTATTTCTTGATTTTTATTTTTTTTGCCTCCTTGCACTCCACATTTTAAACAAAGATCTTGTGATTAGTAATTGGTCAAAATATGTGTTGAGGACGACTCTCAGCTACTACCACACCAAATTTGACCCAAGTAGCTGTAAAATTCAGTGGGTTTTTAGTGATTTTTGTGCTCATTAAAACGATGCTTCATGTCTTGTGAAGTGGTTCAGTTAAAATCAGTTTTCTAATGCAGGGGTTCTTAACCTTTTTGACCTCGGGGCCCAATTTATTGAACATAAAGTGGCACAAGGCCCAGTCAGACATTACCAATGTATGGATCAAAATGTTAATTATTCTAAATCTTGGTTTAATTTTTGTTGTATTTACATCTTAACTAAACTATCGTAACTAATGTAACTAAATTAAATACATTTACAGTTTAAAAG